ACTGGGAATATGCATAGCCATTCCACAAGGCTTTAGTTATTGAGCACCTTGAAAAAAGAACATCATTACCCACAGTGTGGACACTCACAAACCTCAAGTTAAAAAACCAAAAACAAAAAACTTACCTCATAAACTGCTTGTCATGAGTATTACTACTTGACAGAGATAATTTACCTTTAAAATAAAAAAAAATCTAAAAATTAATTTGACAGTTATTTTATTAGTCTTTGGGTATAAACATAAGTACATGTATCAGTTATGTATTGCTCCAACAATATCACTAAATATGGTGGCTTAAAATAGCTATTATTCTTCTCATGTGACAATTTTGATGATCTGGTTCAGACTCAGCTAATATCACTCACTGGGTACAACCCACTTAAATTGCAAACACCTAGTCTCTTTTCCATGTGGTCTCTTATCCTTTGAGAGTTGCTGGCTTGTTCTCATGCAGATGTAGGGGTCCAAGAGAACGGAACTGTGTTGTGTAAGGCCTCTTGGCACATGCCAAGGATTGTCACAGCATCACTTCCACGGGATCCTATTGGTCAAACCAAGTCACAAAGTCAGCCTAAATATATAGGTGGGTATAGACTCTACCTCTTGATGGGTGGAACTATAAAGTCAAATTGCAAAGATGGGGATATAAGGAGTCATTAATTGGCCATCATTGCAACAATTTCCTCTGTATGCTTCCAGTACATTTATATTAATAACTAGAGGCCCGGTGCATGAAATTTGTGCATGGGTAGGATCCCTAGGCCTAGTCGGCAATCAGGGCTGATCAGGTTCCCTGTCTCCCGGCCTCCCCACCTCCTTCTTCCCTCGCTTTCTCAGTGCCCCACCGCCACCACTGGTCACCCACCATGTTCCATGCCGCCCCCAGGTTGTCAGCACACGTCATAGAGAGAAATCGAACTCCAGGTCTCCTGGTTGAACTCCCGAGGGGACAATTTGCATATTCGCCTTTTATTATATAGGATGTTTTAGTTGTTATATATTAAAGTTAAGGATGCGCCACTTTTCTTTGATCACTTACCTCCTTTCATATTTTGGACTTTGATAAATAAGACAGCTGATAAATATCATGCTGAGTGAAATAAACTATGGGGCATTGTAATAAGTTCAAGGATTTTGGGCTAATCAAGGAAATGATATGGCAAGGAGGTGGCACTAGCACATAACAAGCTTTATTTGGGCATCACATAGATAACTTTTCATGAGAGGGGAAGTCTCTCACAGCAAACGATCAAGAGATGATGGCATAGAGCCACCACCCAGAATGAGAAGAGAGTAGCAGAGAGGGGGAGTCAGAGAGGGGCTTAAATATTTAGGTGATGTCATTCAGCAGCATGATGGGGAGTCTTTGGTTAAGAGAATCCCAAAGGGCAGCCATAGTGTGCAATCTTTTTACCCCCAGCATTTGTGTTATCTATGACAACAGATGTTAGTTATAGTTTGGTGGTATATGCAAAGCAGGCAGTCTCTAAATATGCTTATTTGGGCCACGTTTAAAATGATTGGATGTCTAACAATTTTGAGTTTAGAGCCAGCAGGCTTCTCAAGTCATGGTCCTAGCCTGACTTAAGAAGTAAACAACAAAGGGGCCAATATACAAGGACTATCTTTGGTTCATTTATATAACAACTGTGACAAAATGCCTTGCCATTTCTAGCATCCCTCCTTTTAATAGTGAAGAAGAAAATCTTTGGTATAGTCCTGCAGCCACATGGCACACCCAAAAGATAGGTTAAAAAGACATAACAGTTTGTTTTTGAATCTGGGCCTTGAATTTGGAGAAAACAATATTGGAAAGAATTGTCAGAATAGGCAAAATATGAGAAAAAGTCATAGGTACCTTTTGAGTAAATAAAAAAAGTAGCAGCCACAAGTAACTAAATATTCAGAATACCAGTTTTTACAAAAAAAAAGTAGATCACAAAGAAGAAAAAAGATTCATGAGCATGATAAAAGGAATATTTTGTGATATAAGGAACTTTCATATTCTAGAAAACTATATCGAAGGTACTGATATTTTTTTTTATCAAATTAAGAGCAGATGGTCTATTCAAAAATCAGTTCATCAATATAAGAGAAAGTAAATCAAATTTTAATTTTATTCATTTTATATATCACCTATGCCACATTTTATAAACAAGGATTAATAAGCACTTCTCTTTTTTATGACTAAGCTCATTACACCTGATCTGTCAAAATTTTGTATGTTTTATAGTGTCTTTCAACCCATTGTTTTTAATATAGTTCACATTCCATTAAGCCTTCTATAAATTATTCTTCAACCCCAAATTTCCCTTTTCTTTATTTTTAGATTTTAATTATTTAGAAATGTATTGATCAAAATCCATATGTCTAAGGCCTAAGATAAAATTATTTTATTTTTCATTGATAAAAAAATCAGACAAAACGCATCCATCATTTGGTAAATGTGTTTGTATTTATTTATAGCATTTTTACTTAATATAGTTTCACTCTTTTATATTACGTATAGCTTTTAAACATAACAACTTAATTTCAATTCTCTCTCTCTCTCTCTCTCTCTCTCTCTCTCACACACACACACACACACACTTCTCTGTAGATAACTAAGAACTGTGTGCCATTCAGGGTCACTTAGTAGACCAGAACTACTCTTGTGACCACTGCTGAAGATTCAACAATACACATCGCACATCAACTTACAATCACACATATCACTTTAAGATTTATTTACACTCTGTTGTTAGAGAATGTAACTTTGGGTATTAACTTGGCTCATTTGGGCATTTCTGTAATAACATTTCTCTTATTTATTCTCTGAGGAAAAAAGAGCTATGAACTCAGAATCTTTTAGATTTTCTAGTAGGTCTTGAAACTCTGGACAAGCCAGAAATAATCATTTCCACTTCATCTCCATTCTGTTTATCTCATACATGGAAGCCCACTCATAAAAATTGTTATATTAACCAAGCAAAAATCCTCTTAGAAATCAGAACATCTTCTTTTCTAAGCTATTCATTATCAATCCCATATAATAAAAGGGTAATATGCAAATTGACCGAATGGCAGAATGACTGGTCGCTATGATGTGCGCTGACCACCAGGGGGCAGACGCTCAATGCAGGAGCTGTTCCCTGGTGGTCAGTGCACTCCCACAGGGGGAGCGCTGCTCAGCCAAAAACTGGGCTCATGGCTAGCAAGCACAGCGACAGCTCTAAGGATGTCCGGCTGACAGCTTAGGTCCGCTCTCCCCAGGGAGCTGGCCTACGCCATCAGTCAGGCATCCTCCAAGGGCTCCCAGACTGCGAAAGGGCGCAGCTGGGCTGAGGGTACCCCCCCACCCCCCGCCCTCAGTGCACGACTTTTTGTGCACCAGACCTCTAGTCTTAATATAAACAAACAAAAAACTTTTCTTCATTTCCCTCCTTTTCTGATAGTTTTGTCTATTTAAATAAGATATGTCTCCAGAGAACAAAATATATTTTTGACTCATTAATCTACAGAAGTTTTTTCAAGAGAGAGAATGACAGAAAGAAGAAGCCACAGACACAAAAGAGTTACATTTACTAGAAACTGTACAAGGTTAACTTCCATTCTTTCACAGGGAGAACAAGGACATTTTTCATTTATATATACAAGCACAAAGAAACCAACAGTCTAAATACTACATCTTTAGCAATAGGTCAAACATAACATGGAATACAATTTTCAGTGCCTGAGCAATGTCACTGGTCAGTTGTAACTTGGGAGTGGGAAGGTCAAGGAAACAAAAAGGATCTCCAAGAAATGCTTGTTATGAACATCTCATGACTTGCAGCTGACATCAGTTATAGTGGGCCCAAAATTATCCCTTGAATGATTTTAGCTATACTGGTATTCAAACAACATAATACAGGGTATTTCGGAGCATGCCACAAGCTACAAGACAAACCAACAGACTAGATGGGTCAAACAATCAAAATCAGACCCCCAACATTTCACTCACTAAATGAAGAAAAATAATGGCTTTGTATAAAACAGAACAAGACGCATTAAGAATCAGCTTAATGAAGACATCAAAACAGACTCAGAGGGGGAGAAAAAAGCAGAAATAGAGTCCCTGCCTTTCACTGTGGGGATCATGAAAGTTGGGCCTGGGATTCAGAGGTCTCTAGGCTGTGCAATTTAGGGCAAGCCTCAGCTCTGGTGAAGTTCACTTGGGCATCTCATTGGAACTTCAGCTGTGACAAGTTGCAGAGTCAAAAGCAATTAAAAAGAATAAAAAGCCTTTTGTATACTAAACAGTACAATGAAACTGGACTTTGGAAGACATTGAAAAACTGACTACTATATAAAAAAATACAACCTATATATAAAGGAAAAATGCAGGTGCAAGAATACTAAAGTTACAGAGCAAGCGTCTGTGCATGATAGAAAGTCTGCAGTTTTTTTCATATGTTCTCGTCACTACAGGGGCTGTCAATATCAGTATTGCAGGGCTTGTCCTTGTTTCCAGTATGATCCCTCACTTCTGCGATCCTGTAGTCCGTGACCCTACCAATATCACTGTGCCTCTCAATTGATAGTATTTGGAAAATAAAATTAATTTTCAGAAGGTTGCTAAGTAGAGTAGCACCACCATATAAGTACAAAGTAGTCTTTAGTTTAATAGCTTCTGGGACAGTATAATTACTTTGACTAACTTGTCTCATTGTATGAAAATACTATTTGCCTTGGATTCTATTTCTCTCTTTTGAATAGTTATGAATAAGCTTTGAGAAGCTCACTTTATTTTGAGTTTCTTTTTTCCAGAAGATTAATTTTATACATGCTATATTGATTCTGGTATGTTCAACCTTCTTTGAAGAACCCCATTGACAGGTTTAAGCAATGTATATAAATTCTGTGTACACATTATGACATGTTTCTTATTTCAATATACTCATCAGTAAAACAATTTAAAGACTTTTCAGTGTTGTTTTTTTTAATAAGCGCTAATAAAACATTTTCTATTTTATTTTTAGGGCACCTTCTAGTCTAAGTAAAGTCAGTAAATTTGACAGCAAAGTTAAAAGAATTGGGCCACACATAGAAATTTTTCAAGTATTCCGGGAAAGGGCCAGATCTATAATCACCAAAAAAACAATTAGAATGGTCACCGTCGTGCAGGCTTTTGTCAGAGGGTGGCTAGAACGCAGAAGATACCGCAGACTATTGAACAAGGTAAAGCGTCTGTTAAATAATATGAGGTGTTTATAATATATCTAATGTAGACTCAAGTAAAATTTTGAATAATCATTTGGTCAATAAACTCATGATTTTTCTAAATAATGTTCTATCTGCCTTTTTTGGATTAAGAAAATGTTATAAATAATCTACTTTGCTGATTGTGTCAAGCTGGAGATTCTGAACAAAAGGCCTGGCTTATCCTTAACCGAAAAGCAGTTCTGGGGCTACTTTTACTTTAAAGCCAGGACCACCTATATTTGCACTAATTTTGTTTCTCCCTTGCTATCTGTTTATTTTCTGTGAGCATATGGATGGTGAGTGTGAGTGTTTGTGGAGATTAAGTTTCTATAGAAAGTGGCAGAGAGATGACTAGTAAAACACAGGTGAATTTCCAGGCCACTTTAATTACCCAGACCGAAGTTGATGATCAAAAATTGGAGTGGTACTATTCCTTCTGCTTATATAATTATCTTTAGTAATTATGAGAAGGAAGACACAGGGAGTATGTCTTGTCTAAAGGTACACATCTAGCTAGTGGCATACTCAAATTTTGAGAATCAAACCTAAGTCTATATGGCTCCAGAAATTTTAAAATATTAGACATTCTAGTACCAATAGTAGCCAATAATCATTGCAAAATGGTGGATTCTTTTCTCAAATCAGGCTCAACATGGACATTGAATTGTCCTGTCAACAGCTGAGGCCAGCCCTGGATGGTGTGGCTTAGTTGGTTCAGAGTAGTCCCATGCACTGAGCGGTCACCAGTTCGAATCTCGATCAGAACACATGCCCGGGTTGCAGGCTCGATCCCTAGTAGGTGCTGTGCAGGAGGCAGCCGGTTGATGTTTCTCTCTCTCAACTCCTCTCCTCCTCTCTCTCTAAAAACAATAAAAACATGCATTTTTTTTAAAAAAAACTAAGGCTATATTAAACTCCCTTCTGACCCTATAGATCTAACTGGGGTATGCTCACATCAGGGAGATGACATGGAGATCCACAGGTGCATTCATAGAGGCACCAATTCTGTGGCCATCAGGAGTGACTGCTAAGGTTTTACAGTGTGCAGTGGAAGAAAATAAGATTCAGTGATACAGGTGATCAAAAATGTGTACTTAGTCTTGATACTAAGCAATTAGATACAGAATGATTGAGTATGTGCTTCGGAAAGTAATAAAAGTCATCAGTCTGACTTCGGGCAGGGGACACAGAGAAGAAAAAGGACAAAACCCAAGAGAGAGAGAGACATGTCCTTGTAGCTACATTGTGGCTAAGGGCTTCACTAATTCTTTTGTGGGTGAGGAAGTAAATAAAAAATAATCTGTAATGTTATTTGCGTTTTGTATATTTATTAAATGTGTTTATGTGTATGCACTTAAGATTACTATTCAGAATATTCAATTTTTATTTCATTGTATACAGGTTTAGTCACTTTAGAACCTTTTCCTTTTTGTTTTTAAAAGGTTTTGAATAAAGATCCTTTGGGATATTGTCTTACATATTTGTTTAGACAAGTTTAGACTTCAATCAATGAGTATGGTCAAGATATCTGGTTAGAGGTCAATAACATTTTTTGAAAAGTTGAACTGTGGGGAAATATTTGCTGAAATATTGCACAATGGTTATATGCAAACATCTATATAAAAACCATAATAATAATAGAAAAAAATAGGCAGAACACATGAACCAGTACTTTACAGCAGGAGAAACATAAGTGGCTAATAAACATGAAAGGGGGCTACTGTAGCTAGAAAATCAAATAAATGAAATCCCACTGAGTGTTATATGGTAATGGAATTCTCCAAATGAGCAAGTAATTCTTTACATATTTTTTAAAAAGATAAGAGGCAGACTGAAAATACCTACTGAAAAAAGTTTCTTCTTCTTTTTTCTTCATGCTGTGGTGTGATGAGTATGATACATTTACCCTTTAAAACTAACAGGGATTGGAAAATTATAATTAGTAGTTTTCCAGTGAGACTTTTCTATTTCAATATTGCTGTTATAGATATCAAGTTTTTAGATAATTTGTGACTTGAGAAATGCATGGAAATGTAAATATTTACAACCTAAAGTGTCCACGACATCATAGCTGAGGCATATTTCCATGAAGAAGCCTGACAGAGAGGCACACTGGAATAAGAACCGCAGCTTCTTAATCATAAACACCTTCTGACTAATCTTCCGAATGCTCAGACCTGAGAAGGGTTTCCTCATAAAATAAGTGATGTACCCCAAAGAATATTTATTAAATTCAGAGGGAAAGATGCTCAAATTAGCTTTGGTGTCTGCCCAAAGCTCCTGCTCTCTCTGCAAATGGCATCATCTGTCTAAGCAGCACATGCCAAGCTGGGACCTTTGGGCTCCTGTTCTAATTTAATACATTGCTTGATTCTCAATTATAAGCAAAAGAAACCTACTGACAGCTTTAAGCTGGAAGATACTGAGGATAATATTGGGCAGAGGATTGAAAACTAAACTCAGAAATAAGAAGATATACTGCATGTACCTCCCAGGGCTCCAGCCACATCCTGCATAGAAAGAACCTGATATAGATACTGAATCTGAGGTATTCTGGCCTCCATGAATACTGCCCTTGGAAAATGGATATTGCTGCCACGGTTGCTCCACTACATAAAAAGACTTCCCACTATTTTGCTTTTAAAAGCATTACTAGTTTTGATTCAAAACGTGGATTTGGTGTAGATAATGGATGAAGTTTCATCACGTGTGTGTATCCTAGCAACAGAGAGAGCTTGGGTCATGAGCATCTGATTTGTAGCTTCAAACTGTAGGAGGTCTTTGCCTTCCACTAAGATTCATAGGTTGGGAAATAGTCCAATAAAGTCTGACATTATTATTATTATTATTATTATTTTAAATGAGCCTATTGAACAAAAGGCAGATTAAAAATAAACATATAAAATGTTATTAAATGTTGAAAGACATTAACAAACATTAAGGATCTGCCTGGATTCTGATGGCATTCAGATGGAAGGTAAAAGGAGAAGAGGAAAGTAGTGACATTATGCTAATTATTTTTTCATTCAAGCAAATTAAGCAATATTTCATTGATACTATTGCTAACTTAAGAAAAGAAGGTTGAGCATAACATTTAAAAATTTCTGAGAAGAATCACAAAATTAAGGAAAGGTAAAAAAAATAAAATTATAAAAATAACCTTGAATCACATGAAACAAAATAAATGACAAAAGCAAGAATAATCATCAGTGTTATAAAAAGAAATAGACTAGGAAAGAAGTCAGAACAAAAGTTCACAGAATAGGTAAGGCATACTAAGTGTAAGTAAATTAAGAGGAATATAGTGTATAATTAAAAGTGTGGGCTCTTTTAATTAGTTTCATTTCAACACTAATTCTGCAACTTACCAGCTATGGGACCTTAGGAAAGTTATTTAAAGATTTATACTTCAGGTTTTTTTTCACTTGTAAAATAGTATGCAAAGCACATCAAAGGAAAGCTGACTCAGGGAAATTCATGACCTTTAAATACATTCTTACAAAATAGTGAAAATCGAAGTTGAGAACAGAGAAAATAGGCTAAAAAGGGGAATTAATCAAGATACCTAGAAAATTAATGAGCTAGAAAATGTAAAATGTGAAAATAATTGCATTGATAAAATGGAACTGGCTACTTAGAAAGAAAAAATTCCTAAAATATATGAATATTTTATTTTTTTAAAGTATTAGTGTAGAAAATTAATATGCAGAAAAATATAGTCACAGATGACAGATAAAGAAAATTTGCACATATGCTAAAAATAATTACTTTTTTAAAATAGAGTTTTTAGAAATCAGCAAGAATAACCTGAAAAAGTCCAGTGAAAACTAGGTAAAATACATGAATATACAATTTTCAAAAGGAAGAAATACAAGAATTTGAGGACCCAGCGTGTATAGCTTTGGTAAAAGTTGTTCATTATAGAATAATGCTTTAATAAAACTTTGTTTTCTTTTTCTGGCTGGGTAGGCTACATATTATAGAAATCTGGACATCACCCTATGAAGCTCCAATGAAAGTATCCATCACTGAAATCTCTATTCTGTGGGGAAGTACAAGTATATGATAACAAACTCAATGAAATTCTCTGAACTTCAGTGATTACCTCACTGTATAACACATGTATTTAACCAACGTAGGCATGAAACAATAAATGCGTCCATAAGCTAAGAAACTTAGTGAAACGAAAGGGACAAACTCAAATATAAGTAGCAGAATATATAAGGAGCTTTACTGTTTTTGTTGTTATTTTATAGGCTTTGTATCATGGGCCAACTTTGAGAGCAGTTATAAACATGTATCGCAGACAAATCCATCGTGTTAAACATCGACTTTGTCTTTGGAGGACAAGACAAATTATAAACTATGCAGAGCTAGAAGAATGGATGGATAGAAAAAAATGTAAGTAATTAAGATGTTTCTGAATAATTCTTTTTTATGGATAATAATTTTATATCCAATAATCTAGTATGAATGTACAGATATATTAAACTTTATTAAAATATGTACTAGCACCTTATAATTATTACACTGACCACCGTTTTTCCCCACTCACTTTATGTTTAGCTACTGACTTCAAAATCACATATTCCTTATCTAAATGCCCCCACTATTTTTACTCTGTCTTACCTTCATTCCCCCAAACTTTGTCACTAAATTCATTTTTAATTTTATAGAGTTTTGCTCATTTTTCTTAGTTTTACTTTCTTTCCATGATTTCTCCTCCTTGGCTTATAACTGCAGATTACACTAATTCTGCATCTAAAAATAACCTTTTCAGTTTGAGAAAATAGACTACACACAAAAAACAAATGTGGTTATGTTTTCCAGTCTGGACTCTGGTAGTTTATAGCTGAGAATGTGGGTAAAAGTCTTAAAGAAAGTGAGGGAGGAAGAATGTTCCAGGCAGAGGGAGAAGCAAAGATAAAGACTGGAAGCTGGATGCAGTTACTGTGGGAAGAAGCCAGGAGACTAATGTACTGGATAGAGTTTGTGAGCCAGAGCAGAGCAAACTGAGATGGGAGTAGGGACACAGGTTGCATCAGGCTTTATAGACCACTGGATTTTACCTTGACTGAGTTGGGAAGCCTGTAGAGAGTTGTGGACCGAGGACTGGGGTGCAATTTATATCTGAACACATCACCCTGGAGGATTTTTTGAGGATAGGTTGACATGAGGAAAGGATGTCAAGAAGTCAAGTTGAGATCAAGGGTGCTCTGTCCAGCATAGGATCTGAACAATACAAGAAAGCTGAAGGAATGATTTTAAGAATTACCAGCTAAGGCATCCATTTGCATTGAGGTCTAAAGTAACTCAAGAGTCTATAGAATTTTTAAGTTGTTATTTGTCTTCATGTTCTTTAGAAAATTCTCCATTCTTTCCATAGTTTGTTTGCTAATTAGGTTGATATTTGATATCTGACACATAGCCATGCACCTTTTAATTATCTTTTAATGACCAGAACATTTCATTAATTGTCATGATTTAAGTTTTATATGGACCCTAATTTAACCTATGTAGAATATTAATTCTGATAGTATGTTGCCAAATGTTTGTTTTGGGGGCCTAATTACAGGTTAAAGACATAATTTCTCTCTTAATAGAGTTAAAACGATAATGTTAATATGTGCATCAGTCTGATCTAGCGTGAGACATATAAAATGGATCAATTCAAGGAAAAACTAATAAAGGCATATGTACCTCAAGGAGAAATATATTTACTTTAACATAAAATAAAAAGTGATTTTCTTTGTGTTAGTTTGGCTTTCTCTAGAATCAGACCCTGAGACAAGAATTTGAACTAACAACTAACTTATTTGTGAGTGGATCCCAGGAAATACTTTTAGTAGAATGGGGAAGTGAGACAGGGAAGGGATGGAAGTAAAAAAAAAAAGAGTGTTTTATCAAGCAGATTATCATGTGGGCAACTGAAGCTTAATTCCTCTAGAGAAGAGTGCAGCCAATTTGCCTCACCGCTGGGTCTTTATCCATCAACTCCCCCAGTCAGTGGTTGAGGGCTGCTCCAGTGTGGGCCTCAATTTCCTGGAACTTCTGACTTGCTCCTCAGGTGGGCAGAGTGGAGTCCAGCAGCCAGAAGGAGCCTTTAGGCAATGAAATACAGATGCTGGCAATGAAAAGTCAGGTCTATGTGCACAGAAATGTAAGGCACAAGGCTATATGGATGGAGGCACCATTAGCAACTGCTCTAGTTTGCTTATTTGAAATGAGAGAAAAAGTCATAGATACACTAAATATGAACTTGCTGCTGTGCTTCGGGATCTGGAATAGCTACTCATATTTAGTCAATCACTAAATACTTCTTGGATTTGTCAATGTCTCATGACTGTCCACCTCAAATGAATGAATGAGTGAACAGAAAGTTGAAGTCCATATGTTGAATGCCAAGGTGACTCATTAACTTTTGTTAGAAACCTCTCTGGTACTTTTGTCATCCAGACATCCAGAGTGCATTTTTCAGAGCTAAACCTACATTGAGTCAAAACCCATCATCCTGTAAATGCTAGTTAACAATCAGCTTCATGGGGCTAATCCATAAACTTAAGAATAGAATCTCAATATCACCATTTCAAAAAGAAAAAAATGTTTATGGAAAACTACACTCACAAAATGTATGTGTCAATTCTCTTAGTCATTATCTAACCCCTGAATCATGCCATGTATGGGAGATAGATGAGGAAAGGCCCAACTGAGTGGTTTTCTGTGGTAGCCATGAATCAGCAATAGCCAAGTACCTAAAATTAGGAAATACGAATTCAGGAAGTCAGCAAAAAAGTGTACATCATTCCATTTAGGGGACAAATCAGAAGTAGAATATCAGTTCAAAGTAGAATCAGAAATTCAAGTAATTAGAATGTGTAGAAGTAAAAAAGAGGTGAAAAAGATCAGGGGAACTAATAAGCAATGAATACTGAAATGAGTCAGCATAAGTCAGGCCCCCCAGAAATCCTGACCTAGAAGCTTTGTCTTATGATATAGTTTGAGCATTCATGTGTGTAGGGTCTGTAGACAACTGTCATGTAAACCAGGCCAAAGGACACCAGTGTTCTCTTTGGGGAAGCAAATCCAAATTTATCTTCCTTCTAACCGTCCGTAGGAGGTTGACACCGTGCTACACTAAGTATGGAGGCTTAGCACTAAACATAAAAATAAAACTGGGTTAAATTTGCTTCAAATCCAGATGAAACTTTTAGGTGGTTTGTACTTGATATATTATTTTGAAAGAAAGTATTTTCTTTAATCTCCTCCCCCCCCCTCCTTTAGACTATGAAACAATGTTTGCTAAGAGACAAGATTGGCACGGATTAGAAAGAAGTGAGCTCCTTAAGTTCTTCAATGACTGTGGTCATTACCCAACAGTGAAGCAAATTGATCAGGTTTGGGACCTGGTTCATAGAGGCAAGTAATTTCTCCATTCCCCACCCCCAACCCCCGCCCCCTCTTTTCCTTTTCTTTTCTCTTTTTCCTTCTTGTCTATTTCCTCCCTTGTTCTTTCCTTCCGTTCCTTTCTTTTATTAAACTTGTCGTATAAGTCCTTTTCCTCAAACTTATTTTTTTGTCTGATTTTAATATATATGAAGAAACATATTTAAAGTTTAAAAGAAGTTCATACAATGAACTTTCTTGGGTGGGTGGAAGAGGTGATTTTTGCTCTTTAAGCTTTTAATGTATTTTATGCTATAAGCTACATCGGAGTGTATTTTAAACCACTGTATTTTAAAGACTGATGCTAATAAGCTTTCTCATAGATAGTTATATTTGGTACCAATGAACATAAATGCTTAAACATTGTAAACGGTTTCAAAATAGTAAATACTATGGGCCCAGTGCACAAATTCATACACCTTGAAAGGAACTGTGGGCTGTGAGGCTGCTGTAGGCACAGGGACCGGTCTCTGCCCATCCTCCACACCCTCACCCAGCCCCTCCCACCATGGCCCCCAGTCCCCTGTCTGCCAGCTCCCTCTCTGCCAGCAGCCCTGCTCAGGCTGCCACTGCTCCCACACACTAATGGTACCAGCCCTGCTTGCACCCGCTGATGGCGCAGAGTGACTGGGACTGGCGATGGGCACGGCAGCGGGTATGAGAGGCGGCTCCAGCGGCAGCTGCAGGTGCGAGCAGTGTTGACGCTGGCAGTGGGTGTGAGTGGCAGCTCTGAAGCCAGCACCGGTTGCGAGTGGGGCCGGCACTGGCAGCAGGTGCGAGCACCGGGCAGGACCACGGTGCGAGGGAGCAAAGAATTTTCAGTATCCACCAGAAGCTCGCCCTGATGACAGCAACTGGTGCCCTGCCTTGGTCTGGCGCCCCCACTCACCTGCTCCACCATCCTGCCTCGGCTGATGCCCACCATATTCTGCACATGCCCCCTGGCGGTCAGCGCATGTCATAGCGACTGGTTATTCTATTTTTCTGTCGTTCAGTCTATTTGCATATTAGCCTTTATTATATAGGATAATGGTTCAATGTAATAGAATTTTATAGTTAGGAAATAAATAAATGAAAAGATAGTGTTGTATGAGACTATTTAAGTGGAGTGACATTTCTTCTCTACTCGTAAACACTAATAATGGGGTATAAATTGTTATTGAGATGTGAAAAACTCTATGAATTTTCCTTAACTCCTTGAGATACTTCTCAACTTTTCTTTCTATGTTCATACTAATGTTATGGCTTGCTACCACAGTTAGAGAGGATGCATGGATGTAGCCACAATTTAATTGAGGGGAAAAAAGGTAAACACACGTATCAGGTTTTTTTAAATGGAAGAATAGGGCTCACATGCTCGTAGGAAGGTGTGATTCAGGTCAGAGGGACAAGGTTGAAGACTCATTATACGGTTAAAGTTCTCTTCTTTCATTGGTTCTTAATGTAAATTTGCCTAATGCTTTGCCTATGGACTTTGCTTTGCAGTGCTGTGCCGTAAACCAATTCCAGCATGTCATAATTTCAAGAGTTTCATCAAAAGGTTGATGAAACTTGGGGACTCAACAGGGTTGAGTCACAGATGTAGTCACCTGTTGGGAATGGCTAAAGGCATTTCCCCAAACCTGAATAGGAAACTGATTGTGGCTGCCAGACAGTTAAAGGGCATCTTAATCTACATGGTATTGCCTCCTACTGGCCAAACACCTGAACAGCCGTAGGCTATTCCCCAAACTGACAATGCTTCTGTACCCTTTGAAACCTTACCCTTTGAAGTGTATTATCTCCACCTTGCCTTAGGACAAATTGTGTTAATAAAAGCAAGGGTCCTAGACAAGGAGGGACTCTCTTCAGTTCCTTTAGCTGAAGCTCCTCTGACCCCCAATGCCTTTCAAAATTATAACTTGTCTCCCAACTCTTTATTAGTCTCTGGATTTCTATGTTATCTGCGCACAGCCTTTTCCAGATTCCTGAACCCTTCTTGATTCTGGGACATGAACCCCGGTAGTGCTGTATCCCTGGTATGTAGAATGCTTTTCTAGACTCTTAATGAACATTTGTTCACAGATGAGCAGAAGCATCCAAATCACTTTGTGCTTCAGTGGTTTGTTCAAGTAATTAGTTTCCTGGTGATAAAGACATTGCATGTTCAAAACAACAATGAGGTACCATCTCACACCTGTCAGAATGGCTATCATCAACAAATCAACAAACGACAAGTGCTGGAGAGGATGTGGAGAAAAAGGAACACTCATGCACTGCTAGTGGGAATGCAGACTGGTGCAGCCACTATGGAAAACAGTATGGAGTTTCCTCAAAAAGTTAAAAATGGAACTCCCCTTTGACCCAGTGATCCCACTTCTAGGACTATATCCCAAGAAACCAGAACCACCACTCAGAAAGGATATATGCACCCCTATGCTCATAGAAGCACAATTTACCATAGCTAAGATCTGGAAACAGCCTAAGTGCCCATTAGCAGATGAATGGATTAGAAAACTGTGGTACATCTACATGATGGAATACTATGCTGCTGTAAAAAATAAGGAATTCTTACCATTTGCAATAGCATGGATGGAACTGGAGAGCATTATGCTAAGTGAAATAAGCCAGTCAATGAAAGAAAAATACCACATGATCTCACTCATTTATGGATAATTAAGACCATTATAAACGATGAACAAAAATAGATACAGAGGCAGAGCAACATTGAACAGACTGTCAAACTACAGCAGGAAGGCCAGGGAGGTTTTTTTGGGGGGTGGGTAAGAGATCAACCGAAGGACTTGTATGCACACATATAAGCATAACCAATGGACACAAGACACTGGGGGGTATGGGAGGCTAGGGGAAGGTCAGGGGGAGAAAAAAAAAGGAGACATATATAATACTCTTTGTAATACTTTAAGCAATAAAACAATTTTAAAAAGGCACTGTAATGCTAAGCTAATTCCTATTTTAAAAATTACAATAAAATTGATTTTTTTTCCTTTTACCGTAACCCAAAATACTATTGTACAAACCTGCCTGCATTCTGCTTGACTACTAAATAAAGCTGATAGCACACAAAAAAAGAAGACATTGCATATTTATTATAGAAAATTTGTGATACGGAAATACATAAAATTGCTAAGAAATAACAATTATTGACATTTGAAGTCTATCCGTTATTTTTCTGTGCATAAGATGTTGTTTTATGAAAATTGAGATTATTTTCTATGTATTTGAAAATCTCTTCTTTTTACTTAGAAATACTCATAAGTTTCCAAGCCATAAATGCCTTATAATAATCTGTCATATGGATCATCTAGAATGTATTTACTGTTGTATATTTAAACTATTTCCATTTTATAATAAACTAGAGGCCCAGTGCATGAATTCATGCATGGGTGGGGTTCCTTGGCCTGGCTGGCGATCAAGGCCTGTGGGGGGCCGGCAGCTGGGGTTAGGGACCCTGGGAGGTTGGCTGGTGGGGGAGATGAGGGGGGGTCAGGGGCCTTGGGCAGTTGGCAGCTCCTGTGTTGAGCGCCTGCCCCCTGGTGGTCAGTGCACGTCATAGTGACTGGTTGGCGGTCATAATGGTCACTTAGGCTTTTATATATAGAGATAATAATAAAATGAAAAAATTAAATACAGCAAAATTGAATTAATTAGGCATTTCAGAAACATACGGATTATTGTTAGTAATTAAAAAATAAGCTTTTCTTTTCAAATTAAGTTTTATAGAGATATTTTCTATACTGGTTATTTTGGAGTATATCATAAAGGCTAAGATCTGGAGCATGGCTCTGGAATTAGCTTGCCTGGGTTTAATTACTGGCTCCACCATTTACTAGTTGTATGTCTTTGAATAATTTATCTTTAATATGCCTTATTTTGCTCAACTATAAAAGGAAGGTAATACTAAATCATTGGACTGTTGGGTGGTTTAAATGAAATAACTCATGGGAAATGTGTTTTTTATTATAAGTGCTCAGTAAATCTTTGCTACTGTTATTCTTAAATAATTTTAACTATACCTAATTATAAAAATAAATTTTAATAATTATTTTAAAATATTGAACCTAATTGTATAATGACTCATTTTAAAAAAATATATATTTTTATTGATTACATAGAGAGGAAGGAAGAGGGAGAGGGAGATAGAAACATCAAAGTTGAGAAAGGATTATGGATCAGCTGCCTCCTGCACACACCCTGCTGGGGATGAAGCCTACACCCAAGCATGTGCCTTGACCAGGAATTAAACCACAATTTCCTGGTTCATGGGTTGATGCTTAACCACTAAGTCACATAGGCTGAGCTATAATGACTCACTTTTATAGAGGTTATTTATTAAATGTCATCTATTGATTTCTACCCATATCATCTCTTTTTACTATCATAATGACCTGTCTTCTAGAGGAGTAGATACACTCATTCATTTATGCTCATTTTTACAAATGAGGGAACTGAGACTTAGAAAGAGACTTTTATAAGCTCATTAATAGAGCTGGAACTTTTTCCTGGTCTCTTCAAGTGAAGTTCAGTACTCTTTCCATTTCACTTTGGGAGACATTTTAAAAGTCAATGTTATGAAAAATGAATGATTATAGCATTTTTGACAGCAAGTACTCCCGATATTTTGTAACTAGCTTAATGCCTTGAACTATAGTAGGTTTTCTGTGAATGATTGAGTCAATTAAATTGCTCATAAAAACTAAATTTTTCAAAAGAAAACTTAGTTTAAAATCATATTGTTTTATTATAATGCCTAAATTTGGGAAGCTTTGCTTTATAGAAAGGATTCACTCTAACATAATTTTAAATATATGTCCAATTTTGTTGCTCCATCCAGTTAGAAAAATTATTTTGGTACATAAGAAACTTCATTTAAAATGATAATATTCTAAATAATGAAAAGGAAAAGCATTATGGAAAATGGAGCTAAATTAATGAGTTTTTTACTTGCTTCTGGAATATATTCCATTTTTAAGAGAATCTG